TCGTCACGGAGTACGAGGCCGCGCGAACGGGGAGATACTCGCAAGTCGATTTAAAATCCGACAACAGAGTTGGGGCACCTGAGCAGATGCCATTAGAGATCATGAACAACTTCGAAATGAAAACAGAGATGGAGATGTCGCAGTTGGACGAGAGAGCGTGGTGCTCGGTCGCCTTTCCTCGCATAACATTCTCCCACGATGCGAAGACGAGGTGGCATGAAGAGCCAGAGGAGAGAGCCGACATTTCCGGGAACCAACCGCGCATTACTGCGATATTCGGTCCACCGTCTTCGGGGAAAAGCATGCTCCTGTTCAAACGTGTGGAGGATCGGATCCGTGAAGGTCGCGATGAGCAGGAAAACCTATTGCTGCATTTTGGGAGCGTTCTGTGCCAGGAAGTTTGGTTGAATCATTTTTGGGGCTCCATGGACATAGGAGACATGATCAGGTCGCCGTCGCTGGCGCCCATGGACATCATCGATCACGATCGAGTTCGGGCAATACGGCGAAAGTCTCCGAACGCAACAATTCATATTCACGCGGACGATTACGTGATCCAGGCCGAGGACGCCAAGCGGGAGATCGAGAGCTGGAGGCTGGCCATCGCCAAGTTCAAGCAGGATGGGAACCTGACGCTGACGGTCGTGTTCCAGCCCCACGCGAAAGGAGGTCCGAAAATCTCCGTCGAAGAGTTGAGATCCTTCCTGACCGAGGAGGGCGTGGAGGTGATGACTCTCCCCGCCGAAAAGCCTATTCCGTGCGGCACCAGTCCGCAGCTTCTGTCGCACATTCGGCGGAACGAGACCCAGACGCCCCTGCGACTGGAGGCTAAGAACCTCCCCACCGCCTCTCGCCCGGGTGCGGTCGTCGACGGCCTCAAGCCGAGGCGCGTGATTCCGCTCGCCAGGCACGAATGCCCCGGTCAGCATCGGGGTTACGTTTGTAAGGGGTATCAGAAATGTTCGCCTTACATGGAGGCCTTGGAGTGTTTCCGTTCCGCTTTGAAAGAAAAGGAATTCGAAGGCGACGTGACCGTCTTGGTCACAGACGAAGCCTTGCGATCCGCTTTGGAGACGAGCAGTGATGAGAAAAGCAGCCCAGGAGACGACAGCCATCATTCCAGCACATTGAATTTTTTCCACCCCAAAGACTTTCGCGGCTGCGAATCCAACGTCTCCATCACCGTGAACGTAGAAGACTCCTGGCTCCTGGAGAGCGTCTCCAGAAGCCGAACGCTCCTCGCCATCATCGACTTCCTCCCGAACAACCTGCAACTCTGGCGCACCATGGAGGACGAGGGCCTCCTGGAGACGCAGAAAGTCCCGGCTGGCGTCGACGTCGGTCTCGACTCCCTCCTCAGGCTGGACGACTACGGATCGTTCTTGAAGGTGAGGTATAAAATGTGACTGCGCCTTGTGAAGAGAACAGAGCTGTTTCTGCTTTATGAAGAATAGCGTGAAAAAAGTTTATACTACGTCTTACTTTGAGGCCACGATACTTGGTAGAGTAGTACAGGGAAACGAAATGACCAAGTCGACCATTTGCTCCAAGCACTGCAGAGCTAAAATGATAATCCTCGTTGGCATCCTCGCGCAGCGAACATGGGAAGCAGTTTGTGTCTTCCGCCAAAAAAATGTGAGGAGTGAAATATTCACCGAGAAGCCAAATGAAAATAATGACATGGCTTGGTCAATAATTGTTTAGCTCCTAAATGTTTCCAATGGAAACGCAGACGTAAAGGTTTGGTTCACCTGTTGAATGGAAGAGCAAATAATTTCTCATGGGAACCGAGCTATGGTTATTCAAGGAAAACGATGCGGCCTCCAATCTAGAAAAAGAAAATTAAAATGTTTATAGTCGGGTCAGAATAAACGCCGATTAGGTGCCTCGGTCTATTGCAGGCATCTTGACTCGCCGTTCCTCTTAGGAATCGACTGAAACTGCTTTCTTTGACAGCAGTTTCGCTGATTGGGATCGTGGACCTTTTTGTTTCTTTCCCATCTCAAGAATTTCATTTTCCTGCATGGATATTTTCCTTCCTTCTATCAGGGACCAACCTGGGATGCAATCGGCCAGAGGGTGGGAGAGATATCCTTGAAAGAAGCGGGTATCATCGACGAAGAGACCGGAAGACTCGACCTGAATGGGGAGACCTGGGGCGCCCTCGACCCTCCCATCCGATCGACCTCCTCCCCACTTCACGATTGGGGATTCGTATTGTGGGGACGCGACGGCAAGTTTCGAGACTCGAGATCGTCTCGCGATCCGTTCGATCATGCAGTTTAGGAAATGATACCAGAGCGAAATGCTTTGATTTGCTCATTGCCCTTGGCATGGCTAATCTGTTGATAACGTGGCTTCGACTTCACATATCTGTTTTGGATCTCGTAAAGAATCATTTCTTCTAGGTACGTAATAACGCCATAAATAGGGAATACGTGAATTTGTGCAGGGTTGTCTCGGCACATGAATGGCACATTTATTGTGCAGTAACTTTAATCGGTTGTGCTGCACATCCAGCAAATTCGTAAGTTGCATTAAACGTGTTTCTTACGTTGTTTACCAAATGAAACGAAGATCTAAGATTTCTGACACCTAATATGAAATTGACTTCTGTGATGATGTGACTTCTTGAAGAGATTGATCGATCTAGAAATCTATTGATTGATCAGATCGATCAATCTAGAAATCTATTGATCGATCAGATCGATCAATCTAGATATCTATTGCCAAAGATTCATGGTTATGGAAAGGCCTCTTCATAATATTTTCAGAATGTTTTTGCATTGTGAGAGCATATCATGGATTTCTCAGAGCGACTTACTTGGAGGGAGTCACACTGAAAATCATACCTGTAATTAGCTTCAGTCAGTCTGGGTCGTATGAATGCAGGATGGGCAGAAAGTTTCTTGCCCCAAATGACTACTGAAGAGGAAATTCAAGATGAACTTAGAGCATTTTCTCTGATTTTGCTGGGTGATTTGTGGCTGTGATTGTTCTCCAAGTTTATCACCAAGCTCCTCCAAACATTTTAAAATTACTTTGAAATGTAATGTTACGAAACTGAACCATTTGAAATACTGCTTATCTCTTTGAAAATGGTGAATGAATAGTGTGAATAGAGGCCTGCGACGGCGTCCCAAAGAGTTGTCTCCTCATAGGGCTGCTTTAAATGGTTTTTTTTCCGTTCGTGTGCGTTATAAGTGCATAAGAGGAAGGAGTAAGGTCCCAAGTGGCACCGGAACGATCATCGAACGTTAAATAAGCGGCTCATTTAAGGTACAGCCATTCGACGTCTTTTGAAACGTTCTATTCACTGCTTAAATGTTCGAAATTTAGAGCGTTCAAGAACAGTACAAATTATTTTCTCTCTGAACGTTCATCAAGGACGCGAATTGAATATTTGCAAGCAGCACCAAAAGGGTTCAGAATTCTTCCTCATTCCGGGTTCATCCAAGAAGCAATTGACATCTTGGAGTAGACCTTTTCATCACTTCGATTACACCTTGCCCACATGCAGCCCTGCTCCCGTGAGAGGGGTCAGGTACTATAAAAGTAGCATCTTATTTTGATCGTTCCTTCCCATCCATAAGAAGATGGTATTCTCAACACTTCATGCGATTCATTCCCAATGCAGGAACTATATTGTAGTTTATCTAATCAGCGGCCCCATGCCTATCCGGAAAGCCATGGTGAGACAGAGATAGAGGAGAGATTCTTTCTTTGCCCTCTCACGCATCTCTGACATATCCGCACTAAAGAGGCTTGAACTCAGGGAGTGGGCACGCACTCACCTGAGTGCATGCCCCTGAGTGCATGAGTCACTCACCTTGAAGTCACCTTGAGAATTGCACCGTCCTCACTCCCTCGTCCGAGCCGGATTTTTCTGGAGACTCCTAGGACTGGGTTATCTCTTTAGACCGATTTTTTTTATCTGCCGTTCCCCTCGGTACTATGGGAAAATGGCAGATATTGCGATCGGTCTGTCACATTTTTTTCATGCCATCTATCCGCTGAATCTATAGCGACCGGACAACAATACTCGATGCGCATGTGGAGCTTTCCACCTGAGTCGGGTTGCCAGTCAACCACGAAAACATCCACTTCCCTTCCACCACTCGCGTATGTCAGATACATGGAGACATAGGAGAGAGGGCCTGCTCGTGGCCGCGTCGACAGGGTTGCTAGGCATGGGCATGAAATGCATCAGGTATCCTACACCTCATAGTATCCTCCCGTCTCCATGCGGACACAGACGCGCGAACCATCGAGATATCTTCGGATGGCTAGGATGCGGCGAAGAGGATAATGCCAGTGAAAAGGCGGATCTGTAGCTGGGCTTGTACTCTAGTTTTAAGAATGTGAGTGTCTTCCCCTGTGGTATCTGTGGAGAAAAGTCAGGCAACGTGCGAAAATACAAGTAATTTCAGCTCTATCAGGTATTGACTTGTTTTGGTGGCTACTTTGGCGCTATCTGGCGTCGGTTTTGCGAATCTTTGTTTGTTCGAGCCACTGTCGGATCCATGCCTAAAAAAGTATTCTTATTATTCAACGAATGTCGTTCAAAATCATAACGGATTGGCGATCGAACGACACCTTAACTGAGCGCCCAAAAGCTGCACATCCATGTCCACAAAACCCCTTAGAACAGGGACTGAACATCCTCAAGAACGTTCGAGTACTATTTCGAGTACACATAAAAACACCCTCATAACGTGACACCTTGTGATGATAGTTCCACGTTCAGCCCAGCCAGCATTGTGATTCCCAGGGTTTTCCCAAACCGTCTAAGAAGAGTGTTATAAATTACATTAGGTGATAAATTGCAGGTGATTTGGCAATGCCTTCAGGCTTCTTTATTCTCTGTCTGTGACATCTCAAATTATTCATTCGTTGTTGCTCTTGCTTCAGCTTATAACTTTTATTTATTCATGAAGAAACGTTAGTCGTACTAGTTCGAGAAGACTAGACGGAACCATCGCATTATGTTGTTTGCTTTAATGGACATTGGAAAGTCTTACTTTGTTTTCCTCTTCTCAACCCCTTTTCCAGAAAAGTACGGTGTAGTGCCCAGGGCCGATGACCGAGATAAAATTCGCAGGATTCTGCAAGAGAAGGGGGTGAAGTGGAATAACGACAAGTACCCACCTGCTCCTCTGCAGACGAAGGCCAAAGTTGGGACGCCTGGGGTGTTGGAGTCCCTCTCCATTTCCCTTACGGGGTCTCTCCTTCATCTCCCGCTTCTGAAGGTATGGTCTCTCCAGTCGCATCCGCTGATTAAATTAGCTTCCTTTTCCGACAAGAGGTGCAAAATTACCTCTGGTGATGCTCAGAGGATTCAGGGCAACCAACGTATAGAGTTTCAAGAAATTGCAGAGGGGAGTTTAGCTGGTATACTTATCTTGTCGAATGGTATTTATTACGTTCATATCTGGTTTTAGTTATACGGTTTCATTAGATGCTATTCATCATCCCGGAAATAACCGTAAAATAGTGCTCCGGCAAGTCTGGACATTATTATTTATGGGAAAGATAGGACCCACAGTCAGTCTGGTTCCGGTCTGGCTAGTCCCTCGGCAGTCCCCCAATATTGGGTCAATATTGACTGCCAAGGACTATGCATATTGGCCCGGTATTGGCATCCATCTTACCCCATTATTGGGATTACTACACGGAAAAACGTCAGGCCAATATTGGCATTAATATATTTCCTAAAATTTTTATCCAGTGGAGGCATACCTATGGTGAAGGCATTTCTATATGCAATATTAATACGGCCTGCACCAGTGTAACCCCTTACCCATGCACATGACTGTCCCGTGGATGGGCAAGAGACATAGAACGTTACAGAGGTTGATCTTCCCCTAAAGGTACTAAATGTAGTACATTTCAGGAGAAGGTCCCTCTCCTTACTGTTCTACGGAGTATCTGTGAATGCAGTCCTTCGTTTCCTCATTATGTCCTCATGATGCGGAAACGGAGGATTAAGCCGCGGATATTTTCCATGTTCTAATACTCCCTTCGGATAAGGTAATACCCCCAGTAGCACCAGATATTGGCTCAATTCTGGACAGAGATTGGGTACGTTGACTACGTCTTGGGCAATATTGCCAATATTGCCTGAATGATGGGGAAACAATGCAATTCCGATATTGCTGTATCATAATTCATCCAATATTGGACCGACGCGATGATCCAATGTGCCTGACCGCACTTAAATTTTTTTGGGAAATGTTGAAGCTCTTCTTCAGGCTCAGGGAAAGGGCTCGCTTTTTGCACAGTACATGTAAGTACTCTTTCCTCTCTCCCTGTAATCGTCCCTCATAGGAGTGTTTAGTACCTCGCCATGTTTCTCGCCTAGTCTCATTATAGCAATCAATAAAAAGGGATAATTCATTATTTTTTATCCACATATTCGAGACAGAATCATGGAGTCCAGAAAATAACGAAGCTCATATTCCCTATGAGAACCCTACGAAGATGGAGGTTTCCTATTCGAAAGGGGTCCTAGAATAAGAAAAGTAACTTCGGCTCAATCCCTCGTGTCCGCATCCTGAGGTCATAATGAGGAAAAGAGAGACTGAAATCGTAGTTACTCCGTAGAACATAAAAGGTGCAGATCTGAAATGTACTACAATTAGTACATTTACGGTAGGGTCAACCTCTTGGAGAATCACCTGAAGGTGGTTCTCCAATTCAGAGGAAGATTCAACTCCCCAATGTACGGCATAACATTTCGATCTTGGGCCATTAATAGCTATGAAGGGGGCCTAAGCCCTTCGTCTATGATAATCTATGATTGGCCATTTGGCGACTTTCTCCCACTCCGCTAGGAAGTTGCTTCCGGCACCGGGAAGCGGAGGGTGGAAGCATCACGCATGAAGGATTTCGGAAACTTTGATGAAGGGTCTGGCAGATGCACTGATGCATGAGGTGCCATAAACTTAAAGCTTATCACTGAAGGTCTCCAAACACTTTCCGAAACGTTTGGAAGATGGTGTGATGTCACTAGACTTATGGAAAACAGTCTCACCAGGGGGCTGGAGCAGTCAAAATGAACAGATTGTTCTTGACATGGCTCACTCCTACGAATGTAACTTAGTTTTATCTGGGCAGAAATTCCCTTCATATTTTCCCATCAATTATTTCAACGTTATTGAATGATGGCTACATGGAAGGACGATACGAGCCATTTATTCATTCAGAGTTCTCTAATATTCTTTTTATTTCCTTCCAATCTCTCATCTTAGGTCGAAACTCAATTATTTCAATCATCATATGAATCATGTGACATTGTAATTGGACCAGCGCATGATTCCATTTGCAGTACTTGACAAAACGAACGAAACGATGTGTTAGTCTTTTGAAATCCATTTGATGTTGAACAAAGAAACTCCAAAGGACAACATCTCACAGTATATCACCAGATGTCCTTCCATCTGGCCTGACATCTAGCAGTTCATTCAATATAAATGAAGTTCCCACATTGTAAGTGAGGTTGGCGGGGAACCCACCATTGTACGTATCTCGATTCCCTATATACGAGGTGTGGCTATTATGTTTCCAGACTGGTTTTATTGCTGAACTTTGAGAGAGAGGAGGGGAGTGGGACTATGGCAGTAACATGGAGGGGANCAGTCAACCAGATGTTGTACCAGAACGTTTTGAAGAGGTTGCGTGAGGCTGTGAGGAGGAAAAGGGGCGATCTGTGGAAGGAGAACTCGTGGATCTTGCATCACGATAACGCGCCGGCTCACACAGCCCTGTCTGTCCGAGAGTTTTTGGCCGCCAAACGGATCACTGAAATGGATCACCCGCCGTATTCGCCCGATTTAGCCCCCAGTGACTTTTGGCTATTTCCCAAACTCAAAAATTTTTTGAAAGGCCATCGATTTCAAAGCATTGAAGACATTCAAACAAATGTGATGCAGGCTCTGAAAGACATCCCGAAAGAAGCCTTCCACCGCTGTTTCCAGCAATTGCAGCATCGTTGGGATAAGTGTATACGTTCTGGAGGGGAGTACTTTGAAGGCGATAAATGTGATTAATTTGTAAGTTTAAAAGTAAAAAATACAAAAATAAAGTCTGGAAACTTAATAGCCACACCTCGTACTTCTGGATGGTTTCTGCGGAATCTTTCATCAGGCTTTCAAACGTGCAAACAGAGGAAGGAAAGTCATTAGACATTTATTGAGATGCATAATCCAGCTCAAAGGGACCTAAGAAACATCTTGCACAATTCATAGAGAGAGATGGGTTCCCCTGATAAGGTGCGACAAGGGGCATCCCTTCGCATCTAAGTTATGTCGTCCTTGGGGATGGGGAGCAGAATCTGCTGATCGAGATGCTTATGACGGAAAGTAAAGAATTCTCTATTTCCCATCCTCACTCTTTTCTTTCAGACCCCTCGAGGGACCTGGAAGAATGAGCTTACCGTTTACGAACTGCAAGTTCGCTAATCTGCAGGAAATACTGCCTTCTTCATTGCATATGAATGCACAAAAGAAGAAAGACAGCAATGCCCTTCAGTGTGCCACGAATATACCCCTCCATACAAATTTTGCTCCATTTCTATGTTCACTGTACGGGTTCACTGTACAGTAGTTGGATCCCTCCATGGTCATCCAATTGCTTTCCCATAAGTAACCTCAAATGAATCTGAAAAAAACGGAAGTCCAATAAGACACCGAATGGACATGTCCAAGGATTATTCTTGGACGAGACAATTTAGTCATCCACTGGATCTCGATGTGTACTTGAGTAATTGTGCAAAGGATTTATTTTGGCTTAAAAGTGCTTATTCGTAGCTAAATATTTGTCTGGATATGTGAATTCATGTCTATGGATTTTCTATTCAAGTGCTTTCGTTCTGAATGATTTTCTCCCGTTTGCATAGCTGTACTTAGGTGGTTCTTGAGTGAAGGACGCCTGTTTCCTTCCATATGCAGAGAAAAATTGGGGATGGAGACATCTATTCCCTTATCCAATCAGGAGCGAAGGTTCTGAAGAGGCCTATTGTCCTCATTGCGGAAAAATCCCAGAATTCGAGTGAGAATTTTCTGAATGTGTATTTCGCTCCTTATAAAAACATATATTGAATAACTCCATCATAATTACTGATTTACATTTGTGAGCTTCCATTCTTTGGGATAAGTACGAATGAAGCCAAGAAGCTGAAAGTTTCACAAAGCCGGAAAACTCAATTCCTTAGATTTATACTTGACGGAATCACACTCACTATTCCTTCTCATTACCCTTGATCCGTGCATCGCCATGGTATTTTATCTCTAATTAAAAAATGAAATGCAATGTGATTTGGACAAGTTAAGATCTATGTAGTGCAGAGTATTCTACGATAGCATTGAACCCTGTAGATACTAACAGAAATTTGTTAACATAACGCCAAAAAAGACAGAAGTACAGGAAAGTAATAAGTATTTCTGAAATTGTCTGTGTTTGAAGAAATTAATTTGTCTTTCACCATTTGGTGCCTCTTGCACGAACATGCTCGCTGAAATTTGCGCAATAGCGTGAAGGCATCTCGGAAAGAACTTTACATGAAAAAAAAACACATGCCTAACAGATGACGTGGTGTCATGAGCATATGCAACAGTCGGACCGATTTTATGGCCAAAAGAGAAGATTGTGAGGCGCTCTATTTTACAAGTATTTGCATGAAGATTCAGTGCTTTTATTCGCGAATATCAAATATATAACGTTCAAATGGATTTAATGCGGAGGAAGCGTTAGAGAATATCCTGAAGGAGTTCAAGATCCCCAAGTCCTATTTTCCCGGGAAGCTGTTCTCGAGCTGATGCACAACAGCAGCACACCTTATTTGGTCTGTGTTCATTTCACTGGAACAATATATCCATGATATTCAGATTGGATCCGTCTTTTCTGTTAAGCTGCAGTCCATAGATTTGTAAAGTTCCTATATATGGTTCCATTTGTATTTCAATTTCCATGAGTACCATTAATGGACTCTTTCATCATCTTGACGTTTTGCTTCATCCAAAAAAATACAACTTATTCCTTGACTCTCCTTCGAAAGTAACTTTCGCCTCCGTGTTCTGTTTTTGTCATTTTTCTGTGTACTACCAGCTACTTAAAAACGCAAATAATTTGGATTGGATTAATCAATGAAAACTAAAAAAATATGTTTTGAGTAAAGACAACATCAAACCACATTTCGTGGAACACTCTGATACAAGTTTTGGGCCATACCGTATGTTGTCATGTGTCATTAATCCTGGAAGAGGATAAATGAGTATCCACCCGATGCACACTAAATGCTTTTAAATGGTGCCATCCGAAGGGGATCACAAAGTGCACCATGCGCACTCCAGTATGTATCTCAATTATGTATTGGAAACTGGAACTCAGAGACTTGTAAAGTGAGGGTGAAGGCGAAAAATTAAGTATCTCTATAATGGGGAGTGTTATCTTCATGATGATCCCATTTCACACGCTGAACGTGTGTTTTCTGCGTCGGGGAAATGTTAGAGACATTGCTATATTTCCAATGATTAAGGAATTTGATCCGTATTAAAGATGCCAACGTTTTTGCCAAGCCCTGCACATGTTAAGGTCAACTTGGACGGAATAACTGACTAATGCGCATCGCATTCTCTCATCATATGCAATGCAAACAATAGAGAATTTCCTATCGTTGTATATTGAATGGAGGTTTAAAAAAAGGAAATCATGATCTACCCACTCTGTTGGATGCTTTCCAGGGACGTTCCTTCCTCAAGAAGAAGAAAAGGTTAAGGAAAATGAAGAATGGCGAGGCATTCTCCTTTATGCAAGTGGACAGGAAGACTCTCTCAATATCATCCCAATTGTTCGTTACGGCGGTAATGTCACAGCCCATCGCTTCTATCTGTCTTCTACCTGTCTTCTGTCCCTACTCCTATTTTCAGTATTCTTCTCATCATGCTTCCAGGAGAATGTAGGGGTGCTGAATTGAAACTCCTCATTAATTTCAATATTACTTGTCAACTTATGTTTCTCAGAACAATGTCTTCCTGAAGGGAAGAGTTCTTAACTTTATATTCACATTGAAAAAATTCAATATGTTGTTCCATCTCATCTTCTATACGATGTGCAAATCTGGAATATAGGATTCTTTGCCTGGCATATTAGACAGCATGTTAGGTAGTCATGTAGCAAAATGCTGGAACAATACCCACCTACGATACATTTTCCCCGGCGTAATTCATTGCTGCGGTTGTCTTAAAGTTATTATTGAGCACTCGTGTCAGCGTGGTATCACGCTTATTATTTTCAGAGATCAACGTAGGTTAATGGATCTGTATATGGCACATTGAATTATATGTTTAGCCACATATCAACGTGCGATTTACAATGTCCCAGTGATCTGAGGCCGCTGTTCGAACATGCCAGACACATTTCATTGGTGAAATCATGCATTTTGGCGTATGGACTCACATTTTCCGCACCAGTGCCATGCCAGACAACTTTCCATCTGCAGTACCTATCCTATATACTTTGCCTTTCTCCAGTTTTATCAATCCTCTTCGAAAATGGTGTGCTAGTTTTCCATTACACCTGCGTCTGCTTTTGTAATCATTGATTTAGCAATCAGCGTACTATTCTATCATACTATATCATAGTTGCTAATATGGCGTACATATTTGTCTTATATCGAGTGCTGAAAACGTATTTCCCGATTCTGTCCTCATCATAAGTAAATGATAAAATATTGATAAATGCCGAGATTTCATGGGCCGACAAAAAGGCAGTTACTTGTGTGGGATGTCAGTGCCGCTTGCAGGTTGCAGACTACCACGATTGTTAATAAGTCTAAAGTTTTCGGTAATGGATTCTGTTATGATTATGCTTTTTTTATGACGGAGTGCGAAAGAAATGAACTTTCGACAAGTGCTCAATTCTCGCACCTTTCTTTTAGATGACTCAACTACAAATGTATGGATGGAGGTAGAGAACCTGCCCCAGCTATACGGTAACCGAATGGGGAGCAGCCCCATACCCCCTTCCCAGCGAAGAATCTACTTCGAAGGTGGTGTACGGGTGAAGTGGAGGGAACACACCTTGCCTCTTCTCTGGGCCCTCGATAGACACTTGGCTGGATTACCGCCTCTAATGCCAGGTTAGATAAAACCTATTCACCCTATGAATATCTTAGCCACCAGGTGCTAAGGCTGGCTTAAATCCTGCAGTGAGTCCTCAACATGCATTATTTGTGAACGGCAGTTTTGATTGCCTCAATTTCTCTCGCATGTGGGAGATCTACACTAGAAAGGCTTAAAACGGCTGTGTTCGGGGAAGCGATTTTATATTTAAGATCAACATATGTGATACGTTCTTCACATTTTTGCTGAACCAATTGACAACCAATCAGTTGACTGCTGCACGTGGCAACTGCCACTTGAGGCACATGCTGATAATGGAAACTGAGCGAGGTTATCTCCATCGTTCTGTCCTTGTCCCTTTATGAAAATCAGAAATTGTATGATATATTACGTCTATACATCTTCCGTTTCTTTCAATTCAGAGCTGTAGAAAAAAAGGAAGTTTGTAAAATTTTGTCGTGGGGTTTTCATGTATGTCAGGCCAAAAAAATGTGATCAAACTCTTCAATTAAATGCCCAAGTGACTTCACATGACTTTTCCAAGGGGAATTCATTGACAGCCGGATTTGTATGCACTGATTGAAATGCACAGCTGACACCATATGAACCCCATTGAATAGCAAAAGAAGCTCATGATTGTGTGGCAAAAGCTGAGATAAATTATTTTACTGAAAGAAAGTTTTTCCTCCGATCTCATACATCAAGAATTAGCACCTCACAGAGAATGCTGACTCTGAGCAAGAAACTTGTACTTCTCATGGTGCTCTGGGACTTGCTCAGAGAAGGGCATGACATCGATCTCGTTCATGGCCGATAACCTACCTGTGACAAGCTCTCATCGATTTCACAAAGTTAGGCTCCTTCCAGAGATGTTGCGTAGCTTTCATAGGTCGACATAATTTTTATTGGTAATTTGTTTCTTGCCAAACAATATCATTTATGATTGTACACACATTGAGAATTGCTTAAAGTCCACCCTTGTTCAGACAAGAGGTGCACTATTGTAAGTTCCTCAGATTAATTCAGTTCCTTAACCGTCTCGCCATTCATTGTGGTACGTTAATATGACTGGCTCTAAAGAGCACAATTCCAGTTTGACGAGTCCCCCGGTTCTCAATTTATTGAATGAACCGATAAAAATTTGAAAATAAGCAAAAAAAGGACGAAATCTCCTGGGCACATAACACCTTTGAAGATCTGATTATTGTACAAGAAACTTTCAGTGTGCTTATTTGGAAAATATGACCATGAGCTTCAACTGTGGAAGGCATATGTACTTATTTGCTTACTCTTTATACTCACTGCATATATACCAACAGAGGAACTGAAGGAAAGGAGAGATCGTCGAAACTGAAGGTCGCCAATCGAGGAACTCATTCGCCTAGCTGAGGACTTTCTCAAACCAAAAAGGAATTGATCAGATTTGCATTATTTGTTGAATGCACAATATTTTTTTCAATTATATTTTGCTGAATCATTGTTCATTAAGCTTTATACCTATTATACGTTCAAATATATATTTCGCAGTAAATGATTCAGGCAGCTTGAAAAAAAAATCGGAACAAATTAAGGATCATGAAACGCCACGGAGCGAGGAAACCCAAAGAAATGGGCCACATATTTTCTTTTGTCAACTCCAAACATTCGCTTCGATATATTCAAGTATGGAATGAAAGTAACTGGGACGACTTACCCATTTCTTTCCCAAAATATCCAGAAAATTAACAATTCGGAACAATAATATACTTGGATGTAGTTTTATAAGGAAGGAGAATATGTTTCTAAATCGCCCTCATCATATTGTATCAGATAGACGTAACACGAAGAAAATGCTGATGGATTTGAATTTCCCATTTCACCCAAATAAAATAAATCTGCATTTTATATTATTTTTCAATTTCAGTAAATTCAATCATTTATGAGGTAGTAATAGCAAAATAATCATAACTTATAATAGGTATCCGAAAGATGCTGAAGACGTTGGAATTTCCACAAATAAAATAGTTCCACTGAGAATATTCCAGGCCAGAGGAAACATGACCACTAAATTAAATCCTGCAATATACCTCTAAGGCCTACGTTTCGTCAGAAAATAATACATGTAACTTACCGAAAACATTAACATAAGCAACATATAAATAGGAGAGATGATTGACTCCTAATTATGAATCAGTCCCCCCCCACCCCCCCAAGTCTTACAAGCAAGGGTGGTAATTGACTCGTTCTTTTAAGAATGAGAACATCCCTTAAGAATGGAAATAATTACAAGATCCATGAATAAAAAATTGTCATTCCCATGGTTGCGCAACCTTCTTTCCATTCGAGTACAAATTACACATAATCCTTTATCTATATATTGGTAGCATTTCATATTATACTTCAAATTCTCCACTTTAATCATTAAGAGTATGTTTGAAACGTTTCAATTTATTTAGTTAAAACTTAATCAACTACGAAGCTGAAAGCTTCGTATGCTCTGAAAACTTTCAGTTCAGAAAGCTTTCATCAATTTTTATGGCTCTTCCTTTGAGAAATGATATTTTTTACTTAAAAAATCCCAGAAAACTCTGCATAGCATATTTCTCAATAATAATAATTTAATTTGTAAGTCAAGTCGAGTTGCTGTCGAATTGGGCTGTCCTGGTTTGCTTTTCCATCATCGTCTATTTGTCTTTTGGCATGCATCTGCGAGCAGTTGTCCGTGCTTGTTTGCCAATCATGGGAATATCTCTGTTGAGAAATAAATAGTATCTTTCTTCACTTCTTCATGCATTCGGATTATTCTAATTGCATGGCGTACCATGAAATGATTATGAAGTCCGTATAGAAAAACTAATGGAAAAGTTGTTTCCAGGCCTATACTTCATTATCAGGCTCCACAGCATCGTCATAGGTGGACGAAGAACTTCTACATTTCCTCTTTCCCCCTCCCATTCCTCTCGCTCCTCCCCCCCCCCCCCTTCTCCTCCCCGGCCCACTATCCTCCCATTCTGCCGTTGGTACGCATGGGACATTTCATATTCCTGCGGATGGGCGGGAGAATATAATTATGTGCCATAAGTAAGACATATGTCAAAATGTGCCTTACATTCACAAGAAATAAAAGACAGTGCAACGAACCACATCAAAGTAGCTGTACCCTTTGATGAAGAACATCGGGATGAAGCCAATTCCACCAATGAAGATGATGCGGAATGCGAAGAAATGCACTGATGCAACGTGAGGGAAAGTCGCATCCTGGACTTCAAATAAGAGAAGCTCTTCATCTGATACTTCTGTACATGACAGTCTGCGGCTTTTGAAATTGTGTTGGATTCATGAGATAGAGTCGGTCTGTAAAAGACAAAGCGCTGATTCCAAACCTCAGAGGGGGCTCGACATATTCGGGCCATGCGTCTTCACGGCCTCGATATTAAGAGTGAATCCCAGGGAAGGGACGTCGCGATTCATGTGGCACTGTAGCACGGCAAAAACAGTTATATTTTGGTTCGCATAAAATTATGCAAAAGCATCCCGGTCAGACAATGAAATTCAATATAGGATGAGTGTGGGGAATGTCGTCACTTTGAGCAACTTTTTCTCTTCCATCTTGTCTGATGGTTTCTGTAATAGGGCTTTTTCTTTCACTTTAGGTCAAGTCATACCTCTATTATATACCTACTTGAACCGTACATTTTGAGTGCCGTGGGCCTTTCCTTCCCGAGAGCCAGGGTCAAAGGCAAAGTTGGGTCGGATGTTGGGTATCTCATCACACTTGTTAGCAAAGTCGGCACCACTCTGTCGGGAATCTAAGCACGCTTGAGTATCACTGTCGTTTATAATGGACTTCAAAATGAATGCAATAATACAATATACTGTATAGTGTGTATGAGAAGAACGGGAATTTGTAAAGCGATTGCAATTTTACACATTTTTGTTGAATTTCCTGAGTGCGCTTAGAGAAGACAGCCACTGCGAGAAAACTACAATAGCAAATAAGGCTGTTCCAAGCACATGTCAACAACATTACTTTCACTATCTGAGAATGGATCGCTCCTTACTGTCATTCTTAAAGCGATAAGTTGACTCATTCTCTTCAAGGTTCAGGACCTGTTCGGGAAGAATAATTCTAAATGGATAGTGCTTGTGTATAGTGCTCGAAAAGGCAATGGGGAAGAGGAAGAATAGAGTCAGCAGATGCAGAGGCTAGTATTAGTAGCCCTGATACCGTCTCAGACGGTAGTTTGTGACCGGATTCTCTCGGCAAGGGAATTCGCGGATAACATGATTTACTTGTACTGATCGCCATGGTTGCTGGTTGCACTGGCTGCTTCTTCTGCTCCCTTGGTTCCTTCCTTTTTCTGTTCCGACGGATTTTCCTTTCATTCTCTGCTCATTCAATACCCTGGGCCTTCAAGCCTAATGGAAATGCAATCCTACATATTCCTCTGAAAGAAGCAATGCATTTATACTGCATGACAACTCCAGAATCCATCTAACATGGGCATGGAACAAACCCATCATATTGGGCGCAGGAGTACCTCGCGAACAAGCAGAAATTATTCATATGATCATTGGAGTTGTGGTTCCGGGTTCGCGATGTAAAATTTATGGCAGAAAATGGCTGGTGGGAAATTCGTGATCGCGAGAAATTAGACTTATTTTTTTAATATTTATTCGATATGGACCGACCTGCAGTGCATGAAAAGCGTTTCAGCTCCAAATTATCAGTGCTATCAAGAATACTTCGTGCAGTTAATTTAATCCGAGGAATTCAAGCTGTGAAAAAAAGAGTTGGAGAAACATACAATAAACTCGCACCTCAAAAGAATGTTTTTTTTTTTTCCGGACTCCACGCTCACGTCATCGATGTACGGACAACTCCAGGTAGACTGTAATCACATGTTTGAATTTGAACAGGCGAATCTGGAGAGCATGGTTTTCGTATTCACTACCAATTTAGTTTGGGTTCAAACCATTCCTTTCTCAAATAAATTTTGAAAAATAAAATTATTTTAGATGGTATTAGCAGATCCTTATGTA